ACATGTTAGATGGTGGTTGGACCATATTGTTTGTAAGTTCTAGACTAGACAGAACATGTTAGATAGTCGTCGAACCACATTGTGTGTACATACTAGATTAGACAGAACATGTTAGATGGTGGTTGGACCATATTGTTTGTACGTACTAGACTAGACAGAACATGTTGAATGGTGTTTGGACCACATTGTACATACTAGACTAGACAGAACATGTAAGATGGTGGTTGGACCATATTGTTTGTAAGTACTAGACTAGACAGAACATGTAAGATGGTGGTCGAACCACATTGTGTGTACATACTAGACTAGACAGAACATGTAAGATGGTGGTTGGACCATATTGTTTGTAAGTACTAGACTAGACAGAACATGTTAGATAGTGGTCGAACCACATTGTTTGTACATACTAGACTAGACAGAACATGTTAGATGGTGTTTGGACCACATTGTACGTACTAGACTAGACAGAACATGTAAGATGGTGGTTGGACCATATTGTTTGTACGTACTAGACTAGACAGAACATGTAAGATGGTGGTTGGACCATATTGTTTGTACGTACTAGACTAGACAGAACATGTAAGATGGTGGTTGGACCATATTGTTTGTACGTACTAGACTAGACAGAACATGTAAGATGGTGGTTGGACCATATTGTTTGTACGTACTAGACTAGACAGAACATGTAAGATGGTGGTTGGACCATATTGTTTGTACGTACTAGACTAGACAGAACATGTAAGATGGTGGTTGGACCATATTGTTTGTACGTACTAGACTAGACAGAACATGTAAGATGGTGGTTGGACCATATTGTTTGTACGTACTAGACTAGACAGAACATGTAAGATGGTGGTTGGACCATATTGTTTGTACGTACTAGACTAGACAGAACATGTTAGATGGTGGTCGAACCACATTGTACGTACTAGACTAGACATAAGAACATGTAAGATGGTGGTTGGACCATATTGTTTGTACGTACTAGACTAGACAGAACATGTAAGATGGTGGTTGGACCATATTGTTTGTACATACTAGACTAGACAGAACATGTAAGATGGTAGTTGGACCATATTGTTTGTACATACTAGACTAGACAGAACATGTTAGATGGTGTTAGGACCACATTGTACGTACTAGACTAGACAAAACATGTAAGATGGTGTTTGGACCACATTGTTTGTACGTACTAGACTAGACAGAACATGTTAGATGGTGGTTGGACCATATTGTTTGTACATACTAGACTAGACAGAACATGTAAGATGGTGGTTGGACCATATTGTTTGTACATACTAGACTAGACAGAACATGTAAGATGGTGGTGGAACCACATTGTGTGTACTAGACTAGACAGAAACATAAGACGGTAGTTAGACCACATCGTAAGTCTGTTCTACACTAGTCGGGAACACGTGTAAGGATGATAAGACTGTTCTACACTAGTCGGGAACATGTGTAAGGATGATAAGACTGCTGTACACTGTACAAACAAGGGAAGAAAGGCTGCTGTACATGGTACCAGGTTTCAAACAGTTCACATCCAACACATTGCTGAAGGGTATGGTCATGGTCACTGCCCACCATCACAGGTACAATGTGCTGAGTTAGCTAAAACAGTTTAATCCAAGCTGAAGATAAGGTTGGCGGTGTATAGTACTCCTAATATACAGTGGTAAATCTGTATAAAACTTGACAATATTTGAATCAAATAGACCATTTGTAACGTATTTGGCCTAGAAAATTGATTGAAGATAATTATCACAAATATCTGAGCTAGAGGTTCAGACAGTTAGCTTATGAAGCTTACTTAAAATCCAATAGTATCACAGATCTGTTTACAAACTTGCACATCACTATAACCCACTACAGATGAATCAAGGAAATACGACAGTGAAAATCGATCATACAGAACACGACTATCTTTACAATGCAATCAACGTAACAGTCTATCAGCACATACGTTTTGGGGTATGAATTTCTGTCAATATAAACTGAACCACAAAACTCAATAATCATACTGGATTGTGATTAAAGCTAGGTTTAGAACTTTAATGTATACGATTGCTTCTGTGAATAAGTTACCAAATTGGGAAATAAAAACATTTTCGTATACACGGTACACAGGAATCCAAAGAACAAGAAAAGAACAATTTGCTGTGGCCTTATTGACTTAATTTGAATTCCCATATATATATATATTGACATGTCTTAATTATATAACTTACAGATCAGCCAAGAAAAAACAAATAAGTGTACAAAATAAGGTATGGGCCAATAGCCACTGATATTGGAGAAATGTTGTCTTTGATATTTTTAAACTCTCTTTTTTTATATAGTAAAATGATACAGAATGGGCTATTGGTTATGATAATGTAATTTCTTTACCTTACAGGTAAATGTCCTGGAACATTTGCGAATTGAAGAGACCACTTAATGGTTTGGTATTGTGAATCATGACAGTGTGTCATGCATGGATTGAGAAATAATTGTCGTCACATTCTACCTGTATGTATATATTTCTCAAGATAATGTCACTACATGTTTCATTGCCCGAGGAACGCCTAAACCAATCCTTGAATTACACCATATTAAAAGCTTTATGTCTTCTTTTGGCACAAATCTGAACAATATCCTCACACTCCTACACAGATCTATACGATCACCTATTATCATTATCACATCACCATCAGCCCAGTCGAAGCTTCTATAGTGTCCCTAACCAGTCTGACGGGCGGCGCAGTCAATATCAGATTTCTGCATTACATGTACATGTACAGTCACCATGACTATATATATATAATTTTCAGTAGTAAATAATAATATTACTAAATATATTATGTATGACTTCAACAAATTCCCTATAACCCACATACCATCCTGTATATATGTAACCCAGTAAATGTACAACTATATCCTGTAACAATAAAAATTCAAGTACTCATCCCATTCGCAATGCTGTAAATGAAATACGTACTAATAATCTATTTCTAAAAGAATCTTCTTCACCTCCCCAAATGGTTTTATAAAAATTTGAAATTCAAAATGAAAAATGCATTCAAATCTTATGAAATAATAGCATTTTAGATGTATTTATAAAATGTTAAAAGAAATAATTAATCTTGTAACATCATCAAACTTTAATTCTGTTTAGATTTTTCTGTCTTTGTATTAGTAATCAACCACCAAATTGTCAATAGAATTTTGAATCAGCTCAGAGTAATAGAGAAATATTAACCCAAGGGTAAGATTTTCCTTACCTAGAGAGTTAAGATTTCTCTGTCTGCATCACCAATGAGTGATTGATTATTTTTCTCTCGCACTTTCCTGTCGTGAAAATAAATATGGATTGGTTAATCCAATACAATACACGGCCATCTAGGGTGGATGAAATATGGAACAAAGTTGATATGTTACCCTGGTTACGCTGCATAATGTGATGATGCAATAGTGACATGTTCGTCTTTCCCTGGGTAGGTAAAGACAGATTTATCTTTCTCCTCTAACAAAATCAAGAATGCACTTGTTCTACCATTGAAAACAATTCGTTTGAAAATTGATCATCCTTCCTCCAAAATATGGCCTTTTCAATTTGGATAAGTAGTTAAAATATCAATCAACAAACAGGCTTTTAAGTGGATCTGTCATATTTTTGTCATAGTTATTGGCGATCCTCATTTTAATATTACTTTGTGTTTTTAAAACACTGCTCCCCATTCAATCTATCTCATTAAATATTAATGTGATATTGTGATGAGTGTCAGTAAAAAATGCAATCATTCTCTTCATCAACAATATTTACAGTCAATGTTGAAGGTTCACGTTCTGTCATTATCACCTTGGATGTACACATGTTTCATACAGCAATTGTTTGGGGCGACAAAGAAGTAAAACAATTTTAAAACACAAATCTGTCATTCTAACTTCTATTAATATTAGCCATATTTTGGAGGTAGAATGATTGATTCTCCAACAGGTAGTTTTAAATGGTATTTAATAGAAAACTGTCAGAAGATCTTAAAACAATTGTTATTATCATACTGCTGCATTACATTTTCGTAAAGTGGCTTCGATTCAGAAACATGTTGTACAGTTAACTTTATCATGTTTATAACAGCTGGTTGCTGACTTATTCTTGGTAAGTATCCATTCTTGCCACAACAAGTTTATCACTCAGGCCCAGCTAAAAAAACATGTTTTTTTTTGTTCAAAGCAAACTACAGATGATGTGTTTGTCTCTGTGACCACAATGTTTTATCAATAAGTGTGCTACGTGACAAGTATGTAAATAATAATGTGTATAAGTTTTATAGTAATAACTATTATTATTGTAAGATGTATACTGTAGATCACCAACCATTACATTATACCACTATATATATATGGCTAATACATGTACTCGATGCCATTGCCACTATGCATACATATATATAACCCTACCAAAATCAGATGGCATTCATATGAGCTATTAATGTCATGACTCACATGTTGAGATCAACATTATCATTTCATTGTATTGTAATGTTTGGTGCCACTGACACTTGGTAATTAATTATTAAAACTTTTTTGCAATAAAATATTTCTAAAAAGGTAATATTTGCAATGCTTTCTGTTGGTCAATATCAATGCCAACTTGAAAAGACAAATTTACCATGAACCACTATTTAGCTAGTGTGCTTGGTGGATTTGTCATTTGAGTTGGCAATCACATGGACTATTGGCTATGAATGTCAGCTGAAAAAATCCAATGCTTTAATAACAAAATCCATAGGAATATAAGTACATGTATATCCGAACCCGTGTATCAAACCTAACACAATTTTATAAACAAATATACTTTCTGATGATATAGTTGGGACACTGATCTCTGTCGCTCCCATATGACATGGTTATATGCAAAGTGAAGTGTCAATCCTAAACCTTCGTTTTAATAAAATGTAAATGGCTATTTATAAGGTCTGTCGTTATTTCGTAAACCAATAACAGAAACAACTCACCTGTCCGCGGTTGATGAACCCGTGCCTGTCAGCTATACGATCGACGACAGATCTTCCCCCCGGTACATGGACGGCGATTTCGTTCAGGTATACACCAGAAGCAAGCTGACTAGATACAATTATTGTGATAAATATACAACATACTATAGCCCTAAAGTCACAAAAACATGGAAACTTTATAACAGGCATCCACGACCATGTTTGTGTATAACGGTTCGTCATGATTTATTTCCTTCCCCGGAAGTTCTACTTTCTTACTTTTTGATTTATCGGCGCAGCTTTACCGATCACTTCTGCTATCAATATGATAGATTTTTTACTGTCTCGTCATTTTGAAGTCCTGTCTTAAATCTTATGTTACAATATGGCAAGCAAACACTCACCAACACGTCACACATGGAGAAATTGAAACCCACATCCTCGTACACAAGTTCAGAAGGGAACGCCCTTTGACCTTAAAACAACGCCGCCTGTCGGTACTTCAAAGCTCATTGACGACTAATGGGATAACTCTACATGCTTTTGTTGTAATTCCATTAGAACATATGCTGGAGGCGAGGCGACACAAGAATGAATAATAAACATGTATTTATTTGAAGTGAATAACGAACGTTTTCTTTATAATCAATGGACTAGATTAAGTACACCTACTTCAAGAATCCACTGGAATAAAAAAAGGAAAGCAATATAAAAATATTCCGTTTATTTTTAATTTACGTTTTCCTTTCCCATTCATTTTCTAATCCTTAATTTTCAAATTATTTTAGAATTATTCATTTATAAAAACTGGAAATACGTTTTCTTCAATTATAATTTTTTTGCAAAAAAAATAATTTTATTATGTAAATATGCTTATATTTAGATTCCTTTTTTCTAATATTTGAAAATCGTTTTGTAATATATACAATATACATAAATCATTTATTAGTTTATTTTAAATATGGAAAAGATTGGTATTTAATAATATTAAAAAATCGGATGTTAAATATATTATTTTTCCTTATTTTTATTTTTTGTTTTAATGAATAAGTGATTAATTAACATTAATTAATGCATATAAAATATGAATTATTAGATATTTAAAAAAAGTGTTTTCCACTTTTGCTTGCCATAGAAAATATCCCTATTGTTGAAATAACTAACAATGGTAAAGTTAAAAAAAAAATAGTTATCCTTAAACAATCTAAAATAAACCCGACTATCTTATTATATTTGCCTTTTTTGGACTGTGTTTCAAAATATTTAGCGGTTTTGCTTGCGGAATGGGTCTTAACGTTTCGGACATCTAGATTTTGTTAGAAAATAATTCTATGTTTCGGTACACAGAAAAAAATCAATCCGCTCGGCAAGCAAAACGTCCTCAGGTCAATATTGTAACCTTTAACTTTTTGTTCAAATGGTTTTTTATTTTTTATTTATGACTATATTAAAAAGCGAGACATTATTTGATCGGTTTTTTTACAGAATGTTGGTATAAACTCATAAAACATCTACTATTTTCCTTTACACAACATAGGTTCAAGCATATCTACTGTAATAAAATCGCATGTACCTTTGATAAAAGTCCAGTGTAATAAATCTGAGACGTAAGTTATAGTATTATACTCTGGTATAACATATAATGATACGTCGTTCTATTCCTAGTGTATACCAAAATTAAAAGTATCTCTAATCTGGTATATTAATAAAGGACTTTTTTTTCTTTCTAACTTTTTTTCTCAGCAACATGTGTTCTGTCATTTTGTGACTCAAGTTTGACATGTCGCGGGAAATGAAGANGTCCAAGTGTGTTCATTTATCGTGGAAAATTTCTGCGCCACACGTACCGTTTCAACCGGTAACGCGAATGTAGCCCAGAGCATGATTGGTATTTATCTCCCTTCGGTATAGCTCTCCCGAATACTTGTCGTCTGTTTCAAGATGGCGGCTCCGGCAAGGGCATTTGTTGTAAGAAGAAGTATTTTTGTATATTCCTTATCCCTTTGAGTATCACTCAAAAATATTTGATGTTTAACAAATGCCAGACATGTATATACATGAGTAGAACTTATCAAAATGATATCTGATATTCTTTACTCATTCTGGTCAAGAGTTGGAGCAATAAATAAAATAGCCCGGTAATATCTATAGATACAGCGTCATGTTAGTGTATAGTTTGTAATTGTCTTTGAATAGCGCGCTTGCCTTTCACCAAGGTGGCCGGGCCTCATTTCCTTCGTAGGTTTTCTTCGTGTCTTCTGGTTTCCTCCCACATTAGAACCCCGTGGGCACTAACAATAGTAACATCTGGGCCAACAAGAGTGATAAATATAGGTTGAATTTAATAGAAATAACTTGTTTCATAATTGTTGTAAAATAAAGTTTATATATATTACAGCATGTCTTCATATTAATAAAAAAATGTTAAAAAATGTAATTAAAAAAAAGAAAGCGATAACTATGTATAGTTTATTTACTTAACTTTTTATTCGAGACATACTAAATCTAAAGTGGATGCAACTTTACACTAATTTGAACAATTTATCTTTGTAGACTGCAGTAAGACCTCATATACCAGCAATAAAGTTTCGTTATGGAACAAACGTTCCATCAACAGGAGCTACCGGTAAGAACCTTATCATCATCAACATAAAATGGTGAGATAGTGGCCTTTTTGGCAAAGAAGAAACACATGTACATACAACTGATCCTTTTCAATTTGTTTTTAGCCAAACAAAATTATATTTCTTTTTCAACTTTAACAAAAATGGAAAGGTGGGCAAATCTTTATATTTTTTCTATGTGTTAAAAATTGTATCGACCAGATATATTGAATTTACAAATGCTTGTTAGAAATTTACTCAAGGTTATTTCAATTCACATATATTTTGTAGTACTTCATGCCAAAAGCTATGCTGGCCAATTATCATGACTAAAGGGGATAAAAAGGTTTAAATATTTGTATTGTTATGTATTTAGATTTAGTAGTCAAGTGTTGATTACTTCATGTTTACTTTGATTTTATTAGATTCATCATTACAACCTAGACAGGCAGCCATATCTACTCCCTCTTCCTCAGCAGCACCAGCTGGTAAATCTATAGGCAATACACCCAAAGGCTTTGGTATAGAGGACAAGGACCTTCCCAGTCGCTACCATAGGAAACCGCTAACAGAAGAAGAAATGGAGTTCATACAGGTATATTGAATACATTAATGAATATCAAAATGCCCTGGATGAGAAATGAAACAGATTCATTTAAGCATTGAAATGTTACCAGTTTCAGTATACAATCGATATGAATGCAATTTGGGTGACAGATAAATAGAATATCACTGAAATTGCATTCATATCGACTGTATACTGCATCTGGTAACTGTTCAATGCTTTTATTTACATTTATATAGTTATAACCTACACATTGGGTATTTGTAAATTAAGATATATTCATATTAGAAACCAGGGGGCCTTATATAAAAAAGGCCACAGTTCCAAAGTGGTTATGTTCCCCTAAAGGAGTGAATTCTACTGGTTCCCCACAGTAAAATCATGCTTTCAGTTACTGCAGTAAATAACTTTGTAAAATACACTCATATTCCATGGAACTAGAATGGTTTTGATCTCAATTAAGGTTACTAGGTTTAAAGGTCAAGGTTACTGTTATTTCCTCCACTCTTTGTGCTTATATCTAGGTACTTATACTTAACACTCTTGTACCTTGGTTCTTACAGTATACAAATACTTTGGCATTTATATTTTATACCTTGGTACTTGTATTTTGTGCCGAAATAACTGATGGAACAAGGATACAAGGACACATGGATCACAGTGGAGGTTGCTTGGTAAATATGTTACATTGGTGTAGTATTTAAGTGGGATGGATGTGAAAAGAAATGTATGCTTATGTTACAGTAACAATTAAATCTAGCTATTGTTGTTTCATTGTAATTTCAAACGAAATAGCATGGTCTACATTTCATTATGTTCATTTAAGTTTTATAGACGAGAACCTAAAACTTAAAAACCTTGTAAATGTTTTGAATATAATTTGTTTGTGTTACAGAGAGGAGGACCTGTCTAGTGAAGTGTGCCATAGAAAAGAGTAACATTTATAGTGATCAGCAATCATTGACAAAGCAACAGATGAGTGAAAGATGAATGTAGGATAAAGTACATGTACAAAGGAACATTTGGTGATATAAAGTGACCGTTTTATTTTGCGACTCGGATGCTTTATATATTAAAGGAAGTCACAAAAGTTTTAGTATTTCTACTTCTTCAAATATTTACTGAGCCAGATGTTATGATAAATATTAAAGCAGTGGACTGTGTAATAATTAAATAGGTGTTAATTATATGTAATCTGTTGATTGAATGATGTTTAAAAATTGGGAAACAGAGATGAAATTCCAAAATATTTACAATACATTGGTGCCTTACAGATCAGCAGGGTATGCGTCACCATCATCAGATTCTCCCCAAACATGGAGCAGGATTAGTGTACTGGTTCTGTACATAGTGTAATATGCCTGTACAGATAACGTTGAAAGCATGTGCCAGGTTTTTATATAGTCATGGAAATGAATTAATAAAAATTTGTATTTGACCTTTTTGTTTTCTAGTCTTAAGATTCCAATCAGCCAGGTGTTAATATATAAATATATACATGTAGATCTTCTATACTCCTGAAAATACCCAAACAAACGAAATCTTGCTCAAATTTACTTGAATGAGGTATTATTTGCCAATTATTATCAGATGCTGGGCTGTTCAGATTGCTTTTGTCCATGGTGTGGCATCTGTCATTCAGTCTGAAACATTTTTTTGCCTCAGAAATTGTAAATGGGATCATGATGAATCTTAGTATTCATGTCCTTAGCCTATAGCTATGTCTGGTTCAAATTTGGTCTTTAAGGAAATATTAAAATGACCACCTAACTCTACTGGGGCCTGTTCGTTTATGTGGAACAACCGGTTTGTACGTTTTTAAATGTAACCATTTCGGGTATAAATCCTCATGGACCTGCAAATGCAGGCCTTGCAACGCTTTGTCAAGGCTCGCCTGAAAGCAGCATCAGATTACTATATCCGACCTTATCTACTAATTGAACAACTGTTGTCCGACTGGTTCAACCGTTTAAACAAAAACAGCTCTGGATTTTGTACCGCCATTTCTGGGAAAGTGCTATTAAGGATTGTGGTGAAAATTATTATGCATAATCCACATCATCTGCAGTTATGCATGCTTCAATTTAGATGATTAAAAACTTAAAACAGCTTCCACGAACACATCTTCAATTTTGCATTTCATTTTTTTACCAATTTTTCAGAAGCTAATGGCAATGCATCGTTGATATTCCAGGGGTTATGCTCACTTACGGTCTCTGCACCCCTGGAATATGTTGTGACATAATGGAAGGCACACAGTTAGCCATTTGATATTGGTTTTAGGTAAAATCAAAAACCTGACCAATCGCTAAGGTTGATACCTGTCTTTTAAAGATTACAGAGGAGCGACACTCGTGATCGACTTCAAAGCGAGTCAATTTTACTGTTATGCTACTGTGTGATTCTTTGGGTATACACAAAGTATCAAAACTATTCTACTGTTATCACCCACAAGGTGGAAATCCCCACCTATATACAAGGTGTACCATTATTAGGCATACAGATCCAGGTGAGCAATAAAGACCCTCTGGGCCTATTGTGATTTACATTCTGGATGATCATCATTCATGTAGAGTTTGACCTTTAGGTGACATACCTGATTGGTATAACTCGCCCCTTGTCCTAAACCATCTACATTGTATTTATATTTTCATGATTCATCAAATAATTATTCAGTAGTTTACCCTAAATCTTATGGGGTATAAATAACAGAGACCATGAACATTATAAAAGAAAGGGAGAGCATTCTCCCACTTTAATGATCAAAGCAACTAACAATAACTACAGACATTCTTAATACCAAGTCGATACAGATACACAACAGTCTGAAAATTGCGTTGTATTTAATGCGTCTAATAGCATAGTAACGTGTCAATAACAAACACAGAAAAGGCTTCAGCCGTCATCTGCCATCCCTTATGATGGAGACACTCAAAGCATACATTTGTAGATTTAGTCTTATTCTGGCTGTTTGTGGCTATCATCAATGTTCTAGTACAAAACAGTAACTTTTACTATTTGCACAAAAATATATCTGAACATCATTTACTGAAAAATATGATAACTGTTTAACATGTAAGGTTTATTAATATATATAACCTAATTGACTGTTTTCAACAGCATTAGATTCTCAAGTTAGGATATTTGATTAAATTACAATATCAGTGTAATCAGATACATTACTTTTCTAGAATAAGAAAATAAACAACAGTAAAATAACAACAGAATAGAATATGAACCACAGTAGTGTTCCTCTTGGGGAACACACAACACGCCAACCATATTAACAGGTCGGAAAGACGTGGGGGAAAAAACCCCACAGAAACACAATAAGTTCTCAATTATTAAGACTAAATCTACAATGTATAAAATACCTATTCCACCATATTGCAATATGAATCAGGTAAAAAGTCCACACAAAGTAACTTACTCTATAAGGTTGAAACTAACCTATGTTGGCACATGTAAATGCATCATACAAGAACAAACACATTGTCTATTAAAATAATTTTGTAAAGCAAACTGATTCAACAAATACTGATTATATTGTTGCCATTTCTTTACCGACTTCTGTATCGAAGGTCTTGTACTCGTGTGTTGTGAAACAATGTAAATTTTGTTATATTTTTTGCTTAAGACTTGGACCATGAAAATGGCCAGGTGAAACTCAAACCTACATGCAATGCAAATCATTTATATCACATAAAGAAGTTACTGAATTTGAATTTTGAAGTTTCCAACTTATAAGGAGTTTCCCTTGTAGAATTCAAATGAATAGTCAATTGGAAATCAGTATAAAATAAATTAATAATGGGAAATATAGCTGATTTATATTGAGATATAAGCGACATCCATTACAGTCAAACTCAAATCTACACTGTTGTTCTGAAGTCCAAGCTATACCAAAGAGATTGACACTAGATAGTCAAAGAGGGGGAGATAACTTGTATGTGGTAATATCCCACTAACCCATTTATCTCAACCGACTCCAAAAAATTAAAATTATTCAACATCAGTCTGGTATATTGCCTATCTAATGAAAATTCTATTTTGGTAAAATTAAAAATCCACATTTCTGCTAGTATAAACAATGGTGTATATCAAAACGTAATTGCAATAGTGGGTCATCATGATTTAATTGCCGTGTACAAACACTTACCTAGAATAAATACTTGTCAATAAATACCTGCGTATGTCATATCTCCCATAACTCATATACCATCTGATATGTTTTAGTTACGTATTCATTCATGAGTTAAATTTGTAAACAAGCTGTTATCTAACAACATTTGTAAATACTGTATATATGGCACAATAAGAACAGCACTTACTACTAAATATTGTAATGAAGCACCAATTATAGAATGGCTTACTTCCCCTTATTCAATTCTAGACCCATTTTTTTGTTCAGGTCAATTTCTCTCCTGAAAATTTGAAGAGCTTATTAAGTATGTGTTTTCTAAATCAAACAATATGACCAAACTTATTTCCCTTGTACAAAAAGACCCCATATGAGACAAGGTGCAAAATTCTTTGTACAACTTATGTTGTACTTAAATATAACTTAATATTTAACTTTGCCCTTTTTATATAATCTTTGGTACTCCTGGATTCAGCTTATAAATATCATGATGAACCAAAATGTTGGTACTATCATTATTTCAAACAATCGTCTGCCATCCAAATAAATTAAATATTATCAATTGTGTAAATATTTAAAACTAGTAACTTAAAATACACCATTTATACAAAATGAAGCAGATTTAGTTGTAAACAAAATCTGTTAAAAATACTTTTAAAAAATGAGCTAATAGTGGTATCCCCGGAGACATGAATGGATGTACCAGTAAATCAGTCTGAAATCACACAATAAATTTATACATTAGCACATCCACATTTTTGCATCCCAAGCCAATATTATAGCATAATAAAACAAAAATTCAATGATAATGCTGCAAATCAATTAGCACTTAAATACTAGCACTGTACACCATTTCTACTAAACCTCTTCCTTCAACAAAAGTACAAGTATTTGCGAAAATTCTGTTTTAACCAAATTCTTTTAGAGTACAATTTGTTTTCTCTTCACATCAATACAAAAATAAATAACAAAATAATTTACAAATGAAGCTCTTATTTGTATTATGAAACTACGAAAGAAAATCAATCAAAAATAAGTACTTTACTGTTATGACCACACTATACTTTATATATACAAGGGGACATATGACATTTGAAAGAAATTACCAATGCCAAATGCCCACATTGCTCACCTGTTATTTCATTTTTGTTTTGCAAACACATTTCACATCTGTATCTTGTTATTTGAAGAAGAAAAAAATAAAAATAAAATGTGGTATTCCTACAAATGACAATCTTAATGTTACTACCTAAGGCCTTAAGGATTTCTCAAAAGTTGTGTCAGCTTTAATTTATTACACATCTGACCCTGTGTGACGTATGAAGGTCAAGGTTATTTATTTAGACAAACTTGATAGCCTTTCCCACCAGTAAGTAACATGATAAATACTACATTTGACCCATACAACATAAAACTAGGCCAGATCATTCATTTTAAAACCTTATATATCCCTTCACACAGCATGCTGATGACAAAATACATGTATCATGACCATCTGCCACAAACTATTCCTTTGGGTTTTAATTAGATTTGCAAACTGTGTCCAGTTTTATTCCTGAAACCTACTGCAAATGGTTCTTAAGAATAAGATTTAAAAAAAATACTGACGGAGGACACAAGACTGAAAGACGACTGATGCCACACCACAACATAAGCTCAATTGGCCCCTTGGGACAGGACAGCTATAAACTTCCAAGAATATATTATGCATCCTTATAGAGAAAAATCAACAGAGCTGTAAGTTACACCTTATACACTTGTTGGAACATGTAGACTGTTGGCAAAGATACACTGATTAACATGTCACTTAATACTTGGAACAACGTAATTGCATTGTGACATCAAAATAGTTTGCTTGCTTGCAAGAAAAAAATGGTGTTTTTTTAAAAGTGAAATAAAACATGGGAAAGAAACAATTCCTAACAGGTGGTAATTGGTTATCATGTAAGTATAAGTTAAACAAGATGTATGATAGCCAACTACCCCTCATCTGGAAAAAAATTACATTGATACCATTAATATTATGCCATGGTACTGACTGTGTTTATACAAGAATTGAATGTGTAAGGAAATTGTTTCAGCTTCATCCATTGATAATTGTAATGTTAGTACTTAAGGTAAAGGGTACACTGAATTAGTTTGAATCACAAAGGATAGTTTCTCTCACAGGTTTTGTTTTACCTGGAGTCTACTCCCTTCTATATAGAAGCTGAAGCAACCAAAAGGATTTATTCTGACTTAGAGCAACATCCCCTGTCAAGGGTTTCTTAGACTCTATGGCCCATTAATGGGATAGTCATTTTGATGCAGTGCAACTATAACACCTGGATGGCAGCATTGGTCTAGTAAATGCTTTGCAATGTAAAGGTTCTGAGTTTCCACCCTGAATTTTTCAGTTTTCCTTTCTTCTATTTCAAGCAATCAAATTTTAGAGAACTATAATTATGTAAAATGCATGGCAGCAACAGGACATAATAGTGACATGGTACCCTTTACCATAGATAATCACGACTAGCAAGGTGTTGAAAAACGCAAATACGCATCTGGTAGGAAATCATATATAAAAGCAAATAAGTCCTTCACAAGAAGATGAAAAATTGTTTTATAAAAAAAACAATAAACAGGTCATTCTGCTACAATGATAGCATATGTCAACAGGACAGGCCATTCTGTTCCTACTACTGTATAGCACAGGTCAACAGGACAGGTCATTCTGCACCTACTACTGTATAGGACAGGTCAACAGGACAGGTCATTCTGCTCCTACTATAGCACAGGTCAACATACAGGACAGGTCATTCTGTTTCTACTATAGCACAGGGCAACATACAGGACAGGTCATTCTGTTCCTACTACTGTATAGCACAGCCTTTCTTCTATTTCAAGCAATCAAATTTTAGAGAACTATAATTATGTAAAATGCATGGCAGCAACAGGACATAATAGTGACATGGTACCCTTTACCATAGATAATCACGACTAGCAAGGTGTTGAAAAACGCAAATACGCATCTGGTAGGAAATCATATATAAAAGCAAATAAGTCCTTCACAAGAAGATGAAAAATTGTTTTATAAAAAAAACAATAAACAGGTCATGCTGCTACAATGATAGCATATGTCAACAGGACAGGCCATTCTGGTCCTACTACTGTATAGGACAGGTCAACAGGACAGGTCATTCTGCACCTACTACTGTATAGGACAGGTCAACAGGACAGGTCATTCTGCTCCTACTATAGCACAGGTCATTCTGCTCCTACTACTGTATAGCACAGATCAACAGGACAGGTCATTCTGCTCCTACTATAGCACAGGTCTACATACAGGACAGGTCATTCTGTTTCTACTACCGCACTGTATAGCAAAGGTCAACAGGACAGGTCATTCTGTTCCTACTTCTGTATAGCACAGGTCAACAGGACAGGGAATTCTGACCCTACTACTGTATAGCAAAAGTCAACAGGACAGGTCATTCTGTACCTACTGGTCAACAGGATAGGTCATTCTGTTCCTACTTCTGTATAGCACAGGTCAACAGGACAGGTCACTCTGTACCTACTACTGTATAGCACAGGTCACCAGGACAGGTCATTCTGTACCTACTACTGTATAGCAAAAGTCAACAGGACAGGTCATTCTGTACCTACTATAGCACAGGTCAACATACCGGACAGGTCATTCTGTTCCTACTACTGTATAGCACATGTCAACAGCACAGGTCATTCTGTTCCCACTACTGTATAGCACAGGTCAACAGGACAGGCCATTCTGTTCCTACTTCTGTATAGCACAGGTCAACAGGACAGGTCATTCTGCTCCTCCTATAGCACAGGTCAACAAACAGGACAGGTCATTCTGTTTCTACTACCGTACTGTATAGCAAAGGGCAACAGGACAGGTCATTCTGTACCTACTGGTCAACAGGACAGGTCATTCTGTCCCTACTACTGTATAGCACAGGTCAACAAGACAGGTCATTCTGCTCCTACTATAGCACAGGTCAACATACAGGACAGGTCATTCTGTTTCTACTACCGTACTGTATAGCAAAGGGCAACAGGACAGGTCATTCTGTACCTACTACTGTATAGCAAAAGTCGACAGGACAGGTAATTCTGCTCCTACTACTGAATAGCACATGTCAACAGGACAGGTCATTCTTTTCCTACTACTTTATAGCAAAGGTCAACAGGACAGGTCATTCTGTACCTACTACTGTATAGCAAAAGTCAACAGGACAGGTAATTCTGCTCCTACTACTGTATAGCACATGTCAACAGGACAGGTCATTCTGTTCCCACTACTGTATAGCACAGGTCAACAGGACAGGCCATTCTGTACCTACTACTGTATAGCACAGGTCAACAAGACAGGTCATTCTGCTCCTACTATAGCACAGGTCATTCTGCTCCTACTACTGTATAGCACAGGTCAACAGGACAGGTCAAGTACAGACTTTGATTCAAACTTTCCATACAAACATAACCATGGATTATCAACACATACAAGATTATCAATAAAAGAGCAGAAAACAGTTTTCAAAATTGTCAAGAATACATCATGCAATTCACAACACTATGCCAATAATTAATACTGATGATTATAACGTTTTACCATTAGCATCTCAAATAAATAAATAAATACATGTACCGTGCTGCAGATGAGAAGATTTACATAATCTAGTTCCTCACAGACTGGTCAATATGATGTTAATTAAATGCTATTTCAGAATAGGTTGGAAGGATAGAAATTCGTAAATAAATAAAATCGTATGTACAGGATTCAAAATTATTCTTTGAAGTAAGAACCAAAACTGCTTGAAAAATGTTCACTTGGATTAAGAATGAAATAAAAGATTTGTATACCAGTTTCCACTTCTACAATCATCACAATAGTGTAAGCCATTCCACTAAAGTTAGCACGCCTCACTGGTTTGGGGTTTTGAAAAATTAAAACTGCAATTTTGTTATTAAAGAAATTATGATTATGTAATTACACATTCAAACATCATAAATGTAGTACAAGATGTAAATGTACAAAAGTAGTTCAATCCTTGTACTACACTCAAGACCCTATATATTCTGATGTTTGGAAGTTCCTCAAGACATCAGCATGAAATTATATTTGAAGGTCAAAAATGAGCATCCACATGTAGATTATATATATATAGCAGCTGGCCTAGGGCTGGACAATAACAGTAGCCTGATCATGATAGTATTAGACTAGTGATTTATCCAGGTGGACTTTTAGCTCTCTAAAACTGCTAGCCCAATGGACTAGGTTGAATCTTGGTTGGTGGAAACTGCCAATGGACTAGCTCTATAGCAAAGCACAGAAGTAAAGATATGACATGAAAGACATATGACAGACTTTTTGCATTTTAGTCAAGAAATGTTACCCATTATAGCTGTTCCATAACTTGCCTTCTTCTTTTGTTCTACACTTGGGTACAATGAATCTGTTATTACATCAAACTTTGTCACCTAGATATTGTTTCATCCTTGGAAATTCAAATGACAGATGATTTTTTTGGTACAATTAAGCAGATATTTTGGAAAGAAGAACTGTCTATAAATTCAGCACCATATATGCACCAAGGCAACATAGCCAATACAAGCAGTTATGTAGGTGACCTCTATATGGTAACTTGGTCATGTAGGTGACCTATATATGGTAACTAGGTCATGTAGGTGACCTATATAGGGTAACTAGGTCATGAAGGTGACCTATATAGGGTAACTACCGGGTACTGGTCTTGAACCACGTCACTTTAATATAACTAATTCAAACAGTATTATAACCCTAACCCTAACCTTACTAGTATCCTATCGGTTATACTGCAATCCAAATGAAATTGAAGAATTGAAACAGCTAAGTAAAAAACAGGTATCAACGAGTCCAAATACTAGTCCTCATGCATACTTCTGTGATATTACTGGATCCTACTGTATAACATACTTTTGTATGTAAATGTTTGGACATTGAGGTCGCTTCCTCTGCCATTATATACAGGGTACATTGAACGATTCATGAGACAATCTTAGGATCTGAGGTACTGCAAAGATTGAGATAACTAAAAGGATGCATGATCTGTGACTTTGAAATATTATTAGAAAATGATGCATTTACCAACCAAAAACTGAAAGGAGATGTGATTAGTTTAAGGTTAAAAAAACCCAGATACCATTAGAATATATCATCATATTGAAATATTCAGTACACGTTCAACTTTTTTTGTTTCCAAAGTATGAAATAAAATTCCTTCCAAAAATTAGCATATTTGATTGAGTTTCATCAATCTACCCAACACTAACGATAATCAGGTTATCCCACTCTCCAGAATTAACAAGGGAAATTCTTTATGTATCAATAGGTATCCGGTAATTAAGTAATTCAAATATTTTCAAATTTAAGACGCTTAAGGTGGTCGAATTATTGCCACTCTAACAGTACTGTATTGAGAATTTCTGGATTGTATTATTGTTAACACCAGATATAAGTCTACAACATATGAAAAACACATTGGAAATTTCAGGGCATCATATAAATTACTGGTCCTTTTGACACGACATCAGACTTCAATCCTTTCTCATCCCTTGGATTTGAATGCAGAGCAAAACAAAATTTCCTCAAATCCATGACAACCATACCTCTTTAGTTCACTTTTATCACCATACAAGGAGGTGAAATGAAACACTTATTCTGGAAGAGGTCTTTTATCTGGCTGTACATCAGACACTGACTAGGGAGCTGAACCACCAATGAAGTTCTGAAGCCTCTCCACAGTCTTGCTATCCAAAGCACAAAGATCAAAGTCCAATGATGCTTCTCCGATTTCGTATTTTCCTGTCTCCAATATAACAGTCACAATTTGTTGAAGAACTCCACGATCTTTCATTGTTTCTAGTTTTTTATGGAGATCCAGCAATGAGACAAGATCTTGCCCATTGGGAGCATTTCCAAGGTTGTGCTGCTCCAGAATATCTCCGAAATTGATATGGCCATTTCCATTCATCTCTCGCTCCGGCTCATGTGTTTCACTGGCGTAATTGTTATTGGTGTTTGATCTTTCTTCTCTGTAGGAATTCTCTTGATTTTCAGCAATATTTTCCTTGCATGCTTTCCTTTGCTTTGCAGACTCCTTACTTGACTTCCGTTCCTTATCTTTAGATTTTTTCTCTTTCACCGTACTTTCAGTTTTGACACTTGAGTCACACTTGGAGTTGTCTCTTACAGATGCACTAGAATTCCCTTTGTCCTTCTTGTTGCTTTCAGATTTACTGTCATTTTTATTTTTGGAAGAAGATGATGATGATTTAGATGATTTCTTTTGCGATGACTGAGTTGAAGGTGTTGATGAAGAGGAATGATCTTTTGATTCAATGGTGGAATGATGACTAGATTTGGAACTCTTCTGGGAATGAGGTGACAAAACACTTTTTGAATGTGATGGTGAACTTTCCCTCGTAGTTTTCTGAGATGGTGGAGAATCCATTCTCAAAGATTTCACAGCAGGAGACGATGAACTTTTTGTACTTTTAACAGATCCTGGCGAAGCTCGAGAACTTTTTACAGAGGAGGGTGAAAAAGTTTTAACAGGAGAACGAAAAGCTTGAGGAATCAAATCATCGTCATCATCATCGTCATCATCATCTTGGTCACTCAAATCTTGCATGAGTCTATCAAGAGCCCGTTTTGTTTGCTGTTGCATTGTGGGTTGTGGGGAGGGGTTAGTGGAAGCCATGGAAGTGTTTGATGCCACAGAACTTGGTCTTGTTGTACTTTCCTCACCATCATCAATTTCATCATTCAGACTATCCTCACTATCACTATGAGTCCCATTAAGTCGTGATTGGTGTAGGTCACGAAGCTCTGGCTCCTCTACATCCTGTTCCATATTATCTTCCGACGATGACGAGCTGTCATTACTACTGTCCTCACTATCATCAGAAATAATCCGCTTTCGCTTGTTTGGTGGTTGTGATGTCCCTGCACTTGATCTTCGGGGTTTCTCCTTATTCTTTTTACCATGAGATGATAACTTCTCCTTGGCAAATGCTTCTTTTGAAAAAGTATTTTTGGTGCTAGGAGAAGAATGTTTGTCACTAACCTCAGTCTTAACTTTCACTCTCTCCTCAGAGACCTCTGTCTTTACTTTACTGGACGTATGGGTTTCACTTTTAATCTCAGATTTTACCTCCATTTCCATTTTCACCTTACTACTAGAAGAGACTGTTTCACTTTTCACTTTAGATTTGGTGTCCTCTCTAACAGAATCATGCTTACTCTCATGTCTGCTACTTTTGGAGGATTTGCTTTTGTCTTTATCTTTATTGGATTTGTGAGATTTAGAGGATGAAGATTTATTTCTATGTTTGGATGATGATAAACTGTCTTTAGATGATGAATTTTTCTCCTTAGATTCTTTTGAAGAAGACTCTTTGTCCTTTGAAGAGGATTCCTTATCCTTTGAAGATGATTCTTTGTCTTTAGAAGAGGAATCCTTATCCTTTGAAGAAGAATCCCTTTCCTTTGAAGAAGAATCCTTTTCCTTTGAAGAGGATTCTTTATGTTTTGATGATGAGGAGGAAGAATCTTTCTCCTTTGAATGTTTGTTTTTTTCCACAGACTTTTCTCCATGTTTATCCCTGACCTTACCATCTGATGGTGAGGACCCAGACGAGCTTTTCTTAGCCTTCTTGCCACCATCATCATGAGAGCCATCATAAGACCTTTTCTGCGAAGACGAGGAATGTTTGTCTTTAGAGGAACTTTTATGTGATTTAGAACTTGATTCACTCGAGCTGATAATGGTGGTACTCGACGTGGTGTTGGAAGTGACCGTTTGAGCTAAAGTCCCTGACGATGATGATGAAGAGGAACTTGAAGTGTCCTTGGAACCAGACCCAGGTATGGACTTGCCAGAAATAGATGAACTTCCTTTTGACTGTGAAAAGAAAATATGTTTAGAGATATATCAGAGCTTGCCTGTTCAATGCTCTCCTTTGAGAAAATGTTCTCCTCTGTACAGTTACTGCATGCCTACTGTCAGGATAATATGGAAAGTGTTAATCAAATGGACATAGTTCTAGTTTCGCCCAAAACATTTTATTAATGACTAGCAAAAGTATGGTTACTAAGATCATTGAACTGGCAAAATGGAACTTTCCACAGATCAACCAAATTTTGTATGGCTGTAGGCCATCTGGTCACAGTTACTTTTTAACTCTGGTTAAAATAATCATAATCATGTAGCTTGAGATCTTATTGTGATGTGCATGCCTTTATACCACTTCACTAGTTTAATTCTTTTGCCTGTAACTTATCTTTAATTACCTTGGATGATGAGTGTTTAGATTTCTTCACTGTGTCAGTCTGGATAGGAGGACCAAACAAGTCTGTAAACTGGCCAGTTTCTTTCTCCCCATTGGGGTTGACAACAATCTGTTCAGAGATAACATCATTAATCTTATAGGTCCTCAACTGCATATTAACACACTTATTTTATTAATGGTATATTTTTTACCCAATGTATACACAATATAATTATGAATGCCTCTCATTTCACTGTTACATTGATAATAATGTCAGTGTTACTGTTATTAAATGTATCCAACTGTTTCCTTTAATATCATCGCCAAACCACTTTAATGAAATATTTCTGCCATAAAACATGTGTCACATACTCTTCCTTCAATATCAAGTCCAGCACATCATGTTTGAAATACAATATTTATTTCTATACATTTCAGGTTTGAAACCGAAATTAAAGAAATTCAAAAATTCTACCTAGTTTTTAACTTGAAATGTCATATTATTTCCAGCTGACAGATCTTGCTTTTTTCAATATGGCCACCTTCTTTTTCAAAAAATAAAATAAATAAATAAATAAATATTGAATACCAACCCCTCCAGCTTCCAGTAATTTGCGTTTGAATTCCTCAGTAGGATTTTGGAAAGTGAGTTTCTCACATCGGGTATGGTTCACAGGGGGATTGTCGGCCATTCTCAGAAACAAGTCATACTGGTAGCGAATTTTACGCGGCTCCTCCTTGTTTTTAAAGTATATGTCTATTGGAAAGTTAAATCCAGCATATCCTGACTCTGACACATAGTAAGGTGGGGATGTCTTTACTGGAAATAGAGAAATTAAAACATATAAGATGATAACATTTCCAAAATAATGTCTTCAGGTCTTTAAATTTACTTATGTCTGAAACTTTGTAAATCAGAATTTAGGTCAGAAACATGTGTATACTATAAATATATTTAATAGAGTTACAGAAACATGTGTATACTATAAATGTATTTAATAGTTACAGAAACATGTGTATACTATAAATATATTTAATAGAGTTACAGAAACATGTGTATAATATAAATATATTTAATAAAGTTACATAGTTTCTTCGGCTACCACAGCTCACCAATTCTATCAGCATCATGTCAATATTTTACAGAACATGACCATGGTTATCAGCTGTTGGGAGTCAGTTAAAATTTAATGATCGATGATTGATTACACTCAACTCATTGATGATGGATTAATTATCATTTAAAATAAATATCACGAGACTGCTGCTGCTTTAAATTCTTGTTAGTGTCTAGTAAACAATCACTCTACAGAAAACTCTATAATATCTACACTCAACAGTGTAGTCGATCAATCAGTTTATTGGCCTAACCAATCAACAGTTGATTAGATGGAATACCAGTAGCAGTCACTTCAACAATTTCCTCACACAATTTGTGTGCCATTGATGATGGCACAATGCATAATTGCATTCACAATGCATTACAACATGGGAGTATTTTTTAAAGTTAAATCTGGAATTAAGTGTGGAAGAAAAAATAACACTGTAGGCAGTGAAATCTCAACTCTTACGATAAGATTTTATAAGTTTAGCGCGTGGCAAGAGCTACATATACTAAACCTTGAGAATGTTGCCCTCTGATGACAATTTCCGTCTATAACACACAGGAGTGAGAGATTCTATTATTTACATGTGCATTGTGCCTCTCACTAATCAACCTGAACATTTCAATATACCAGATGTCAAAATAAAATTAAAGCTATCAGTATATCAATGCAAGAATAACAACCATGATACTTACCTCGTTTAGCATTGGTGAAGCTATGGTGAAGATTGAATACGACCTTCTCAATAAAGTGAGCAATATCACAACCATCAGGTCCCCTTACAAACACAGTCCAGTCGTGGGTAAACCCATTCTCTGTTGGATTTGAACGCACCGAGGCCCTGTGACCTAGCTCAATCTTAACCTGCACAGACATTGGCGGCTGAAACAACAAGAAATAGTTCAGGTAGGGTATTTAATATTTCTACCACACCACATGTTTCATGCACCAGGCCTAAAATAAAACATTATCTCCACCGATCTGCAAAAGAAACCCCACTTCAAAATATCTGATAGAGATTTTGTATATATTTACCGTTTCTAAATTATGGAAATTTAGTCGGTCATCCATTCAAATATGTTTTCAGTATCTTTGTTTTAAACTAAACATTGAGGAGACCTGGCAGAGTACATAATCAGGGTCAAAGCAGGCAACTTATCAAAGCTTTATTTTAAATTACTCATTTAATTTAATCCTGTATAAAAGACATAATGAAATAGCATCCCCATATAATAGTATGGAGATGTAAATAATACATGAATGTAGTTCTTCGAGGGGTTGACACTGAATGGGTTGACAAATTTACCTATAGACTGTAATACTGATTGTGTTCTTGACATTTACACCCCTCAATATGAACTCATTTGAGGTTTTGTTATACTTGACCTTTGTATCAAGTTGCTAGATTGATGACTTGGGACAGATATGATTAACACTAATACACCCCCCTTCTCCCTTGTAAAATGGCATAAAGGATACAAAATAAATAATCAATGGCAACAACATTATCACTAGTGATTTTAAATTGTCTGATGTGTAACCACAAGATGTTGGTTAAGCAGGAAGTTGGAGACCACAAACGTACCACAATATCATATATCCTACGTGTAGGTCGGCACACACATACCCAGTACTGGTACAGGTTATATAACCATAGGGTACATATAGCAGTGTAGGAGAAGACATCATTTACCCCTGGGTATGGGGTACTTGTACTGATATGGGCATACATTGTATAGGTAGAATTATTATTACAACTTGTTTTGCTGATGTCATTTGACTCTAGCTCTTTGACCTGGTTCTGATGATACCATATAACATTAAAGATACTGCATGACCTATAGATATCCAAGACATATCCCCTTCTCCCCCTCAAATATACTCACCATTCCCCCTCAACCCCAACACATTTCAAGGGTGAGATGATTGAACTGCTTTAAGCTAATTAATAACATATATGTGAAACAAACATTAATTTGGTAATTTTAAACACAACATGTGAGTGTAAATCTACAATTAGTTATTACAGTTGATGTTACAGGTTTCAACACAACACTTACCTGGTATTCGCTAGTCTTAGGCTAGTAATTTCACCAAGGATAAGTTAATGATCACTTAACCCAACTTGTCATCTAGTACGAGACTTATAGATTTTAAAAAGCACTAGTGAATCACCTTTATTTTCTAGTCTTTGGGACTTGAAAATAATATGCTTTCATCATATCCATTGACTGATAGATTTTAACATTCTTCTTAAAGTACAGATAAATACTGAAATGAATGTTATTGTTAATTGCCAAAACTGTCATATGACTTCATCATATTTCCATTACAACAGGTTTCTTTTGTATCCTCTATCAATTATTCTATTTTCTATCTTTATCAAGCACACTTACTTTTGTTTGAGTCAGGTCAAAACTATAAGCTGATCTCTAGGGGCCAGGTCACTTCAGCTTTTTGTTTTTGAAGACTGTTCGGGTTGATTTCTGATTGGGTATATAAAGTGCTGTCATTAAACAAATTGTGTAATTAAAATAAAGTTGTACTACCCACTATGGCTAAAAAATAAAGTTATACTACCCACTATGGCTAAAAAACAAAGTTATACTACCCATTATGGCTATAAAACAAAGTTATACTACCCACTATGGCTAAAAAACAAAGTTATACTACCCACTATGGCTAAAAAATAAAGACACATCCAGTCAAGAACTTCCATTACATTATAACTATAGTACCTATTTATGAACTACTGTTGACACTCCACACGTACAGTGAGTTTTGTTAAGTGTTTGGTCCGGTAATCTTGTCATATCTAAGTAGTAGTCTTCCTCAATTTGTATTAAAAAATGGTCAATCTAAACACCGCTGTTACAGGCTATACTTGTCTCTAACATTAGCTTACTAAAATTAGCAAGCTTAAAACAAACAAATAGAATGTCAGATCTACACATGTGAAAGATTAGCGGACAATGCAATGCTACGGGAAATAAGGACAAAAGAACATCCTTTAGCATTTTTTGAATGTTTATCTCATAAGAATCACATTACCAAAGATGGAATTGTCACAGTTTTGGATCGAGATATTTATCGTACAAGAAACCATTTACAGTTTGTTACTTATGTTGGATATAATGCTATCTGGTGCGAATTCACTGTCAACCTATTTTTAGGGACAAGTATATCATGTACTGTGTGTTGAAAGCTTAGAGGTTTTGTATTAGCTAGTTTGACAACTGGGCTTGAACCTACAGGTAGGTATCAGTCGGAGGAGCCTTCAAGAGTTATCCAGTGTTCTTCAGAAAATCGAGTTAGTTCATTGGTTTAAATCAGGAATTCAAAGTTAGCACAGACTCTATGAAGACTTCTTTGGGGGATCAGTTGTTGGGCCTGGGGTAATTAAACACAGCCTCAGGCTAGGAATCCCATTTGGTTCTGTTGGTATGATTGTTTTCTAGTCTATATATGTGTTCACCTGAATGTACAGCATGTCATAAGCATGTCATAAGCATGACTTGTATGTGAAAGTTGCACTTGATCTGACCTGGTACTGTTAGGGGGCCATCTAAATACTTTGGCATGTGTTATTCTGTGCTGTATAGTATAATGTTGTTGTGTGTAATAAACATTCCATAACTAATCTACTCTGTCTTTTGAGATGTGCATCATATAATTGAGTAATATATGTTATAAAACAACTTTGGGGCGCAAGATTACCGACCTGTGTTTTACAGTATGACTTTACGTTTTATTACTTGTCATGGCACATGAAATTATTAATATTTCTGGGGGAGACAACCTATATTCACATCGGTTTCAGAATGAAATTTCAAAAATAAACAAGCCATATATTCGGTTTCAATCTCACAATTTTAAACAAGTTTACTTGCAATGCCAGACATACAGATAAAGTACATAGTGACAGAATGACAGGACCGTAGGTTTCGATCGTAATCTGCAGGCCAGACGATAAGAGGCTTCTGACGTTTGATAAACAAAGGTGAATAACAGATAAACAAAGACCGGGACTGATCCACAACTATTACCTGTGACATGTCGAGTGTTTACAGGTTACAATAACGCTCAGCAAACCCTTCTATAAAACGAAAGCTTCTGTTAAACACAAAGAACATAGTCTTCTGTGATAATTCATTATGCTGATCACAACACGATGTGTAGGCGGAAGTCGCTTTGCGCAGACTCACGTAAGAAGGAAGTGGGTAGGGGGAAGGGCGAGAAAGTGAAAGTAACTCACATCAGAGAGCCTGAGAGGTATACAATTATAATTTCATTGACGCCGGTCCTTCCTTCCTTCTTAGTAAATAAAAGAAAATCTTGGACTTTATCACTGAGGGGAATCCACCTTTTATTTTAGTTACATAAACCTGCCGTTATATTCCTATCAAGAGTTCTATTTCAAAAAGAATTTTACCATCAAAATAATTGCCCTTTTTAATTTAATACCGAAGTGTTAACATAGCTCAAAACTGTAACATGAATACGACCTTCTTAATGAAACCTGAGATTGAGACCGGCGCCTGTATTCGTGATTTTGCGTGCTCGAGTCAAGCCAACTTTCTTGTAACTTGCCTAAATTATTAGTCACGATCAAAAAGGCAAGTGTTCACATTAAAAAACAGTATTTGGCTGTAAGTAGATATGCAAAAATTCTTCCAAATTAAGAACAAAAAGTCAGTTTTTGATTAATTCATCACAGTGAAGGAGAACGGAAGTTGGGTCTGAGCATAGAATCTGAGTTCGAGCATGAGAACGGTTCCATGAATACGGGCCCTGGCCATGGTATTCCAGAAGGGGAAGCGATTCGAATGCCATTAAAGATTGTTCGAACAAAAAATCAAGTTATCTGTGCAGAATCTGCTAAAAACGCGAAAGCTTCGAATTCAAGTAATGTCACCTCCTCACTGAACATCCTATACATCTATATCGCACAAAGAGGATTTATACCTTCTTTCAAGTCCTCACTCGAAGGGTACCACCAGTCTCTCTACTAATTTTGCATCCTCCTTATGTACATATTTTTAATATAATACTTTAAAAAATACAGAAATATATTCTTTGAAATGCCACCTCCCAGGGTCAATTCCAAGTTCTGATCCTTGTCATGGAAGAAGAAGAAGAAGAAGAAGATGACCATAATCTGACTTAATGATACCACTGACGGAATTAGATTAGATCTTTCTTGCAGTTCGTACTGAAAATAGGAAATATGTGTATGTCCGATCGCGTTCACTAGAACTGTGATATGATTGGCGGGGTTCGAAAGTTGTAATCGAGCAGGTGTTGAGGATGATAGTGGGAATGTGAGAGCGCGTCAATCTAGTCTGTTAATTAGTTACACCTGACCAGACATCTAGTCTGTTAATTAGTTACACCTGACCAGACGGTTGGGCTTCTATCAAAAAGTATTAGTGTTAAAATAAAATGCTATTATAGTGAAAGTAACATGTGTTACGTCACAATTTGCTGTGAGGTGAAAAATTGTTTGAAATGTTTTTGAAATGATGATGGGTTTTGATGATAAATAAAGAGGTTTATAGAGATGCTTACACGTCCACGGTGTGTTTCAAAGATTTTGGACTCTGTATTGTTTTCTTTGATTTTTGACCTAGGACTCTTGCAATGTAAAAATATTCATATAGAAAACATTTGCGTGATGCGAGAAAGTCAAAACGACTACAAAATGTTTCTAAATTAAATGCCGATCCAGATATGATGTTTGTTAGTTTAGTTTTGCAGTAGGTGAGATAGAAGAAGGTAATTGGACGAGAGATGCAGTGACGTATTGAGCAGACTGTGTATGGCATGTACCGCATGGCCCTTTCAAAAGAATTTGTTACATCTACTATAAATATATATATACGGTGTTCAGCGTAATTTTACACAATTTAGTGGTTTAAATCAACTTTCAGTTAAAATACCACCAAAATTAATGTATATCGATATATATGACCATTGGGGTGGCATTTTAACCGAATGTTGATTTAAACCACTAAAACGTGCAAATTATCAGGTGCCTTCGGTGTGTGCGTGTGTTAGACAACTCCGCCGTAGTACTAGTTACTATGTACATCAACTGTAAGGTCGGGATATAACTAAAGTGTTAGACAACTCCGCCGTAGTACTAGTTACTGTATACATCAGCTGTAAGGTCGGGATATAACTAAAGTGTGAAACAACTCCGCCGTAGTACTAGTTTCTATGTACATCAACTGTAAGGTCGGGATATAACTTAAGTGTGAAACAACTCCGCCGTAGTACTAGTTACTATGTACATCAACTATAAGGTCGGGATATAACTAAAGTGTTAAACAACTCCGCCGTAGTACTAGTTACTGTATACATCAACTGTAAGGTCGGGATATAACTTAAGTGTGAAACAACTCCGCCGTAGTACTAGTTACTGTATACATCAACTGTAAGGTCGGGATATAACTAAAGTGTGAGACAACTCCGCCGTAGTACTAGTTACTGTATACATCAACTGTAAGGTCGGGATATAACTAAAGTGTGAGACAACTCCGCCGTAGTACTAGTTACTGTATACATCAACTGTAAGGTCGGGATATAACTAAAGTGTGAGACAACTCCGCCGTAGTACTAGTTACTGTATACATCAACTGTAAGGTCGGGATATAACTAAAGTGTGAGACAACTCCGCCGTAGTACTAGTTACTGTATACATCAACTGTAAGGTCGGGATATAACTAAAGTGTGAGACAACTCCGCCGTAGTACTAGTTACTGTATACATCAACTGTAAGGTCGGGATATAACTAAAGTGTGAGACAACTCCGCCGTAGTACTAGTTACTGTATACATCAACTGTAAGGTCGGGATATAACTAAAGTGTGAGACAACTCCGCCGTAGTACTAGTTACTGTATACATCAACTGTAAGGTCGGGATATAACTAAAGTGTGAGACAACTCCGCCGTAGTACTAGTTACTGTATACATCAACTGTAAGGTCGGGATATAACTAAAGTGTGAGACAACTCCGCCGTAGTACTAGTTACTGTATACATCAACTGTAAGGTCGGGATATAACTAAAGTGTGAGACAACTCCGCCGTAGTACTAGTTACTGTATACATCAACTGTAAGGTCGGGATATAACTAAAGTGTGAGACAACTCCGCCGTAGTACTAGTTACTGTATACATCAACTGTAAGGTCGGGATATAACTAAAGTGTGAGACAACTCCGCCGTAGTACTAGTTACTGTATACATCAACTGTAAGGTCGGGATATAACTAAAGTGTGAGACAACTCCGCCGTAGTACTAGTTACTGTATACATCAACTGTAAGGTCGGGATATAACTAAAGTGTGAGACAACTCCGCCGTAGTACTAGTTACTGTATACATCAACTGTAAGGTCGGGATATAACTAAAGTGTGAGACAACTCCGCCGTAGTACTAGTTACTGTATACATCAACTGTAAGGTCGGGATATAACTAAAGTGTGAGACAACTCCGCCGTAGTACTAGTTACTGTATACATCAACTGTAAGGTCGGGATATAACTAAAGTGTGAGACAACTCCGCCGTAGTACTAGTTACTGTATACATCAACTGTAAGGTCGGGATATAACTAAAGTGTGAGACAACTCCGCCGTAGTACTAGTTACTGTATACATCAACTGTAAGGTCGGGATATAACTAAAGTGTGAGACAACTCCGCCGTAGTACTAGTTACTGTATACATCAACTGTAAGGTCGGGATATAACTAAAGTGTGAGACAACTCCGCCGTAGTACTAGTTACTGTATACATCAACTGTAAGGTCGGGATATAACTAAAGTGTGAGACAACTCCGCCGTAGTACTAGTTACTGTATACATCAACTGTAAGGTCGGGATATAACTAAAGTGTGAGACAACTCCGCCGTAGTACTAGTTACTGTATACATCAACTGTAAGGTCGGGATATAACTAAAGTGTGAGACAACTCCGCCGTAGTACTAGTTACTGTATACATCAACTGTAAGGTCGGGATATAACTAAAGTGTGAGACAACTCCGCCGTAGTACTAGTTACTGTATACATCAACTGTAAGGTCGGGATATAACTAAAGTGTGAGACAACTCCGCCGTAGTACTAGTTACTGTATACATCAACTGTAAGGTCGGGATATAACTAAAGTGTGAGACAACTCCGCCGTAGTACTAGTTACTGTATACATCAACTGTAAGGTCGGGATATAACTAAAGTGTGAGACAACTCCGCCGTAGTACTAGTTACTGTATACATCAACTGTAAGGTCGGGATATAACTAAAGTGTGAGACAACTCCGCCGTAGTACTAGTTACTGTATACATCAACTGTAAGGTCGGGATATAACTAAAGTGTGAGACAACTCCGCCGTAGTACTAGTTACTGTATACATCAACTGTAAGGTCGGGATATAACTAAAGTGTGAGACAACTCCGCCGTAGTACTAGTTACTGTATACATCAACTGTAAGGTCGGGATATAACTAAAGTGTGAGACAACTCCGCCGTAGTACTAGTTACTGTATACATCAACTGTAAGGTCGGGATATAACTAAAGTGTGAGACAACTCCGCCGTAGTACTAGTTACTGTATACATCAACTGTAAGGTCGGGATATAACTAAAGTGTTAGACAACTCCGCCGTAGTACTAGTTACTGTATACATCAACTGTAAGGTCGGGATATAACTAAAGCGGAGACGATACCAGAGAGACCACTGTTTCATTGTCTGACATTTATCAATGTCTAATATCAACATCAAAATTAAATGAGTTGAACTTTTTACCATAATTTACTTCGTATACAAATATCGGATGACGTATGAATTAGATATGACTGTCACTTTTGATTTATAGGCAGCTTATACTATCAACATCAGCATTAATATAACTCTTGTTAGATTATAACACAGTTTTGCCGGGGAACCCCCCGACTCACCCCCTACGGCCATGTATACGATAACCAACCATATTATATATATATATATATATATATATATGTACTTACGTTATGCTGATTTTTAAATCCCATTCTTGAATTGTACAGTTAAGGAATGCTTATGTTGTATAGTCCCAACACGACGATCTTGGGGAATAGTTCAACGGCACACACGTGTTCTACTGATGCTAGCATATATATATATTTAACATCTATAGTATGAAATTCCGATAAAGAGTTAATTTCCCTGAAGTATCACTTGAATTAACACAAGGAAGATTTGTATAACTAAGAACAGGACGATGTCGACATGAAGAGCTCGATTCTAGGTTTTCTTATTTTATAAATCGTTTAGAATTGTGAGAACACTACTTAAAACATGATTGGTCTAAACAGTTACATGTAATGCTGCCATGGGGATACCCAATGCAGGCGGCTACATCCGGGTGTGACGTCAATCTATATTCCTAAAATAGACACGGTATCCACCGAGTGTGTCACATATCGACTAATCTGAGTGGGCACATGCCTACACGTTTTGTTCTTTTTATATATTTTTTTTATTTTTATTATGAATCATGACACGTGCCTTAAGAGCTTATATTCAACGTACCTACGCACAGTTCTGGGTCAGGTACAGACAATTCGAATCCTTTTTATTAGCTCACCTGGCACAAAGTGCCAAGTGAGCTTATGCCGTGGTGCGGCGTCCGTCGTCCGTCCGTCCGTCCGTCCGTCCGTCCGTCGTCCGTCCGTTGTCCGGCGTCAATATTTTACTTTAAACGACTTCTTCTTAATAACCAAAAGGCCTAGGGTGATGATATTTGGCCAGAAGCAAACTGGGATGAAGGGCTACCAAGTTTGTTCAAATAAATGACCTTCATCTATTTTCAAGGTCACAGGGGTCAAATATGTTAAAAACTTTAAACAACTTCTTCTCAATAACCAAACTGCCCAGGGAGATGATATTTGGTCAGTAGCATGCTAGGGTGAAGGGCTACCAAGTTTGTTCAAATGAATGACCTTCAATTATATTCAAGGTCACAGGGGTCAATTGT